GGGACGCGGGGACAGCGCGGGCTGCCGCCCAGGGGGACGGGAGATCCCAGCCCTCCCTCTTGCTCCGGAGGAAGAGGAGCAGCTCGGAGGATGAGCACRGAGAGATCCGGATCTTGGGAGGCGGTGGGAGGACAGGCATGCGGAGCGGCTGGGAAAGACACCCTGGGGTGCCTGAGTGGCGCGGGAAGAGCCCGGCCTCCCGGGAATGTGGCTGGCAGCGGCAGCACTGCCGAGACGTGGGACACCGGACACGGGACGTGGGACACAGGACATGGGAATGTGGGACATGGGACACGGGACACGGGACACGGGACGTGGGACACAGAACATGGGAATGTGGGACATGGGACACGGGACATGGGACACGGGACGTGGGACACAGAACATGGGAATGTGGGACATGGGACATGGGACATGGGACATGGGACACGGGACGTGGGACACAGAACATGGGAATGTGGGACACGGGACACGGGACACGGGACATGAGACATAGGACATGAGAAACAGGACATGGGACACAAAACATGGGACATGGGACACAGGGACACCAGGGGAGCGGAGCTCATCGTGGCTCTCGCACCACTTGCCTGCGGAAAAGCAGGGCCGCCCCGAGAACACTCTGGAATTCCTGGCAAAGCCTTGGCCGCCTTTCCCTGCCTCCCGACACGTTCTGGAGCGGCTCCTCCCGGCCCAGGCCGCTCCCGCCGCCTCGTGCCCGGCTCCGCGGGCATCCCGGCCGGCACACGGCGGCACCGCGGCACACGGACACGCAGCCCCAGCCCGGCTCTGCCCTCTCCCCCTGGCAAATTCCTCCCGCACACACAGGAAATASGAGTTCTTGTCCTCTTTCTTTCTTTTTTCTTTCTTTTTTTCGCTTGCTGTAAAGAATATATTAAAATTTCACATCAAATCCTGTTTACTCGCTTGTGGTTGCCGCGGTCTCCTGGCGCGTTTGCTTCAGTCTGCAGCCCTGGGAGGCTGTCGGGAGCCCCTGCAAAAACCCCAAACTGCCCCAAATGTGAGCAGGGACGTCCCAGGCCCCGTGCCCTGCGAGATGCCAGCTCYGGAGGCTGCCTGCCCTGCTCTCCGGCTCCACAGGAATTCCCTGCTCCGTCTGGGCGGCAATTCCCGCTGGGAAACGGCCGGGGCCGGTTTGGGGGTTTGTGACGGTTGCAGCCAGGACCTGCACCCCGAGGGTGGATTTGGGCGGCAGGGCCCCGAGCTGCCGGTGTCCAGCAGGGCCCTGCTCCCGGCTCCACGCAGGGACACCCTGGGAACCGGCATCCCGCTCCCGGAGGAACGCGGGGACCGCTGCTCCCATGCCTCTGCTTGGGYGCGCGGCCTCCCTGGGGGACCCAATGAGCAAAATGACATTACAGAAACACAGAGTGACCTCCGGGCATCCCTTGCACCAATATTCGTGTGTTTTGCCCCAAAACCAGCGGCTGGGAATAGCCCCAATTCCCTGGAAGCACAAGGGCCCCTGGATCCCCGCGCTGCCAACACGGGCGCTTTGGAAAGGTCCCTTCTCAGTTTCGCAGAATACATTCCCCCTTCGTTTAATCTTTCTTTCGCTCGAATTCCCGGCCGAGGAATTCTTTCCATGAGGCAGAGCCGGTGCTCGCTCGCTCCCGCGGCCGCGCAAACCCCCAGAAACCCRGCTTCGAGGCCCGCTCCTGAAAACTGCTTTGCGGAGCGGCATAAACAAAGGGCTGAAAAAAATAAAAAGAGAGGGGAATAATTTTTCATCATTGCTCTTTGCTTTCTTTTTCTTTTTTTTTTTTTTTTAACTAAAGCTTGCAACTTTTTAACTAAAATCTTTGCAATCTTTTGCAATTTCTGCTCTTTCCACTTTCTGTTTTTTGCAGCATATTCCAAACTTCCCGTGGGTTTACGCACGTCCCCGACGTCAGCAGGGCCGGCACAACCTTCACCAGGTGGCAACAATTTCCCCAAAGGAGCCGCCTATGTGCAATTATCACCTCGTTTTCGCTTCGGAGTTAATAAAGCCCGGGACCCTCCTGGTGCTGCTAGAGGGGGAAAGCCCTGTGAGGTTGTAGGGGTGCCCTGGGGCAGAGGGGCTCTAGGGATGCATGGGGGACCTCTGGATGCAGTGGGAAGGTAGGAAGTGTCTCCATGCTGGGGGCTGCACAGGGTGTCACCGTCACGTTGGCGCCCCTGGTTTTGGTTGCTGGCCAGGCCGCATGCCGGGTGCCCCGTGAGCGGGTGCATTGGGGCGCCCGTTTGCATGGRGAGGGTGCTCGGCACCGCCGCAGGGATGCGGAGCTGCATCCAGCGGTGCCTCCATGCRATGCTGCACCTGTGGGATGCCAAGAGCCCCCTGGCACCGCCAGCCCCGGTGCCGGGTGGCCGCGGTGCCAGCGCCAGACACGGTGCCGAGCAGCAGCTCCAGTCCCCTGCACTGGCTGCTCCGGGCTGGAGTCGTGGCAAACTGCGGCCGGGAAGCGGGAGTCTTGTTTCAATTATTTCCACCCTGCAAAGCGGAGCCATCTAATACATCCCGCCCGCGAGGGCGAAGCGGAGAGATAAAATAAACATCGGGAAGCCGCTGGCGAGGGCGAGGAATTCGTTTTGGCCACCGAGGCCTCGCTGGCGKCCCGCTCCCCGGCGGCCCCTCGGCACCCGCTCCGCTCCTCGGAGCTGCTGCCGTTTTGGCAGAGCCGCAGCGGGAATCCCGGTGGCGCCGGCTGCGTCTGTGCTCCAGGTGGTCGGCGAGGAGGGTGAGGATGGGGTGAGGAAGGCCCTGCATCCCCTGTTCCTGTAATGCTCCCGCTGTGGCTTTTGCAAGGCTGCCTGTTCCCGATGCACCAGCGCAGGAGCAGTGCTCGGCACGCTCCCTAAGCTGCACTTGGGCCTTTTCCAGGAGATTTCCAGCACATCTGAGCGCTGGGGCCCCTGGTGCAGCCAGGGACGGCCTGCCCGGACCCCGGTGCGACTTTGGTGACGCAGGGGCGGCCGGCGGGAGCAGGGCAGCCCCCTCGGGGCTGCTCCGGCCCTGCGGCGCTGCCGCTCTTTCGCAAGCCCCAGGCAAGCGGTCTGTGCCGAGCTGGCTCCGGCAGCGGCTGCGGATCCCCATTCCTGTGGGAAGAGCGCTGCCACCGTCCAAGCATCTGCGCTTGTTATGATGGGAGAGGAATGCCAAATATTTCTCATCCTTATCCAGCACCCTCCGCTCCAGCCCGCCCTGATCAAACCCACATTCGGGCTCCGGTGGCCTCGGGCTGCCGCGTGCGGCCGGGCCGAACCGCGACCAGAGCCTCCCGCCTTCCCCTCCCCTCGGCTTCCCGCTCCTGCCCTTTATTTTTCAACCAAAACCTTTCATTGTCGCTTTCTCGCCTGGGCGAGAAGCAGCCCGGGGCCGCGCCGCCGCTGACGGCACGCGGGACGGAGCGGCGAAGCCTCCTGCGGACTTGCCAAATGATCCGGCCACTTTCTCCTGCGCGCTTTGGAGCAGCGAGGAGGAACATTTCATTCCCGGGAGCTGGCGCGGCCGCCGCGCTGCTGCCCTGGCAGGGCGCCCCGAGCGGCTCCCGGCCCCGTTGGCAGCGCCAGACCGGCGCCGGTCCGGTACAAACAGCACCAGCGAGTGCAGAGCTGTTGTCACCTCCGCCTGGCRCGCGTGGACGTGGGTGCTTCTGAATGGGCATGGCTGAAAAACCCGCAAGAAGCCCCCRAAACCCCTCAATGCTCTGGCAGAAAGGGTGTAAAACTTGCAGAATCCCCCCTGACTTGTTAATGCCCCAGTTCCCTCTGCCAAGGTCACAATTTTGGGGTAACCCTGAGGGGCCTGCGGGAATCCCTGGGTGCCTGATGCTTTCTCAGCGTGGCCTGCAGGGGCACGGGCACCTTCATGGGCGCTTTTTTGTTTGTGGAAAGCAGCCTTGAGCCAGGTGCTGCTCATGCATAGGTGCATGGCATGGTTTGCACGTGCTGCAGACAGGAGCGTGGCATGGTTTACACACACTGTGTGCACCAACATGGCACAGTTTGCACWTGCACCAGCGTGGCATGGTTTGCATGCACCAGTGTAGCATGGTTTGCATATGCTGCATGCACCAGCGTGGCACAGTTTGCACATGCACCAGCATGGCATGGTTTGCATGCACCACATGCACCAGTGCAGCACAGTTTGCACATGCCGCATGCACCAGCATGGCACAGTTTGCATGCACCACGTGCACCAGTGTGGCACAACCTGCACATGCAGATGTGTGGCACGGTTCACGTGTGCCATGTGGGCACCAGGCTTCTCGCAAGGCTCTGCTCCTGGCTCAGAGCCGGCGCTTGGAGTCGCCACTTCTGGGCAGCCACAYGGGGCTCCCCGGGGAAGCCGCCGTCACGCGCTCTGCTCCGCACGTCCCTGCCGCTCTGCAGATGCAAGGGCTGCAGAGCGGGGTGATGCTGGCGGCCCCCCTGGCCTTGTCACCGCGGCCACCCGGGTGGCACCGACGGGGCTGCGGGCAGCAATCCCAGACRGGTCCCACGAGGGACCCGCCAAACCCGTCCCCTCCCCACGCCCCCCACACCGCGTCCCACAGCCCGGCATCGGGAGCGGCCCGGGACGGCTGCAGCCGCGGGCGCTGCGGGGGCCGGCCGGCGGGGCGGGCGGGACCGCCAGGCTCCTCCCCCCCAAATCGCAGGGGGCTCCGCGGGGACCCCGGCGCCGGGATGGCAGCGGCGCAGTCGGGCAGCGGCGGCCGCCGGGGCGCTTCCCGGCGCGGCTCTCCCGCTCCGCACGGGGACCTGCCGCCCGTCTGCTCGCCAGCCGCTTTGTCGCCGCAGCAGGACTTGGTTGCTATTATTATTATTTTTATTATTTTTAAAGGAGCGCACAGCACTGGCGTCTGCTCGACAGGCAGAAGTCGGCGGAGCAGCCGGCGCTTCCCGGGCGCGATGGGCGCAGCGCTGGGCTGACCCCGCGGGCGCGATGCGCTGAGCCCGCCGTGCMGCTGCCCGGCCCGCGCCCGCCTGCACAGATGCGGTGGATAACCCTCGTGCTGCTGCTACTGCTCCGCTCCGTGGAGATGCTCCCGCAGAGCCCGTGGAAGAAGCAAGGTAGGAGGCGAGCGGCGCCCGGCGCGTCCCCTCGCAAGCCTCACCTGCCTGGCTGTGTCCCTTGTCCCCGCGCTCGGGTTGGGACGGTGCGTGGAGCCCCGGCAGCAGCGCCGCGGGAGCAGGGCGCAGTCGGGCTGGTGCAGAGCGCGCTGCTCCCGCAGCGTTTCCATGTGCTGCATGCATGGGAAGGAGAGCACACGGATGCCCACAGCTGCTCGTGGCACCGCTGGGTGCTGCCCCGCAATTCCTGCCACGGGAAGGAGACGCTTTGAGCTTCATGGCTCCTCCAGGGCTGTCCTGTGGCCAGGATCCACGGCYGGACCCGGGGCCGTCCCGCCGCGTGCACCGGGCACCTCCGTGTGCCGCAGCCGGCAGCTCCACGTGGGGCAGCTCCTCGGCCCGGCCCCACGGCCTGCAGCGCCCGGGGCTCTGCCCCGCGAGCGCCAGCCGAGCACGGCTCTGCTCGTGTCACCTCTGCAGCGCTCCCTGCCACGGGGGCCACCCCAGCAGGGCTCGTGTCACCCCATTGGAGCGGATCGCGGGTGCTGGTGCTCAGCCGTGCATGGGGATCATCCCCGTTCTGTAACCTCACCATGCCCGGATGGGGATGAGCATTCCCGGGAAAAGGGCTCCGAGGGGAGCCTCTCGCGGTGCCTCAGTCGGTGCAAACGCGCAGAGGGGCCGYGCGGGAGCTCAGGGGACCTGTGGGAAGGTGCCGTGGCCACAGGTCCAATGTGGCCAAGCACCCACCGTGGTGCCGTCGGGCTCTGCTGCTCCCTGGTGCGGTGTCCCCACGCGCCACCCCGGCATCCTGCCCCCGCCACCCCCGGCTCCCAGGAATCACTCCGAAGCGTTTGGGGAGGGAAGGACGCTCCTAAACCCGGTAAATGCATAATGGCAGCCACAACCTAGTGGATGCGGGTGCGTCGTGAGCGGGCGCCCAGAGCCTGCCCCCCYGCCAGCCCCTGGCCGGGCCGAGGCCCCTGAGCCCGCCTGGGCAGTGACACCCAGCGCTGGCACCAGCACGAGCGGCTGCTCCGCTCGTCCTCCCTGCCCTGGCTGCACCATCCACTCCCTTTGCAAACGTCTCTTCCCAGCAGTTTTTTTAAGCATCCAAATGATCCTGCTCCTGCCGGTCACCTCCAAGCTGCTCTTGGAGGGCAGAGCCGTGGCCAGTGCCCAGGGTGAAGGCACCTTCCCTGTCACCTTCGTGCATCCCTCCATCCATGGCACATGCCTGGTGTCCTCCATGCACACCCTGCATCCTAGGTGCACTCCCTCCATCCACGGCATGCTSCTAGCATCCTTTGGGTGCTCCTTCCCTCCTCGGTGCGCTCCCTGCACCATTGACACACCATTGACACACTCCTCACATCATCGCCCTGCTTATTCCTGTATTCCATACCCTGCATCCCACGGGAGCGGGGCAGCTCAGGCCGGGGATGCGGAGGGCCGGGTGGCGCGGAGCCCCGGGCTCTGCCGCCCACGGCAGCGCTCCCGTCCCGCAGCGAGCGCCGGCGCGGCGCAGAACTGCACGGGCTGCGTGCTGTGCTCCGAGGACAACGGCTGCGTCACCTGCCACCAGCGCCTCTTCCTGCTCATCCGGCGGGACGGCATCCGCCAGCACGGCGTCTGCGTGCACACCTGCCCACCCGGCTACTTCGGCGTGCGCGGCCTCGAGCTCAACAGATGCACCAGTACGTGGCGGCTCCGGAGCCGCATCCCGGCCGCGGGAGCAGCCGGAGCAGCGGGGCCGCGCAGGGCTTGGGGTGCCCGTCCCCGGTGCCACCTTCCCGGGATGCCCCGCTCACTGGGCTCCTGCCCGCAGAGTGCCGCTCGCCCAGCTGTGAGAGCTGCTTCAGCAGAGACTTCTGCATGCGATGCAAGGAGAAGTTTTACCTGCACAAGGGCCAGTGCTTGCGGCAGTGCCCGCCCGGCACCGCCGCCCGSCCCGGCACCCGCGAGTGCCAAGGTAAGCGCTGACCCCATCCCAACCCCGCCGTGCGCCAGGGCCGCTGCGGCCTCACGGAGCCCCTGTCCGCAGAGCCCTGCGAGCCRGGGCCCTGGGGCGGCTGCAGCGGCGAGAGCCGCGGGCGCCAGCGGGGCCGGGGCCGCCCGGGGCCGGGTGCCACCGGGGACGCGGCCGACGGGTGCCCCGAGCTGCAGGAGACGAGGCCGCGCCGCGCCAGGAAGCGCTGCCCGGGAGGTGAGCGCGCCACGGGGACACCGGGATACAGGGACACCGGGATACAGGGATGCGGGGACACAGGGATGCGGGGACACCGGGATACAGGGATGCGGGGACACAGGGATGCGGGGACACAGGGATGCGGGGACACCGGGATACAGGGATGCAGGGACACAGGGATGCGGGGACACCGGGATACAGGGATGCAGGGACACAGGGATGCGGGGACACGGGGATGCGGGTGGCCCCAGTGCCCTGCTGCCCCCCACAGCTCTGCGTGCTGCAAACCCAGAGCTTTTCCCAAGAGGAAAGAGGCGCAAAAGCTCCGTGTTCCCCAAGCGCAGGAAGGGGCAGGGGGCACCAGCCAGGGATGTCCCTGGGTCACCTCAAGTCACCCCAAGCAGGATCCCTCCCAGACGGAGCCATGGAGGCCTGGGGCCTCCTGCAGTGCCAGGCCCAGCGGTGCCAATGGGACAGCGGGACGAGGGTGATGGGCCTGGAAAAAGGGATCACGGGAGGAACCTGCAACGTTCCTTCTGCTCGCTCCTGGCCCCTGGCTGGTGTCAATGTCTGGATGCCAGAGGCTGGTGGCCTCACCCGGGCAGCCCTGGGCATGGGGGAGCCGTGGGACGGTGCTGCCGGGGCTGGAGCTTGTGCTGAGAATGGAGCTTGTGCTGGGGCTGCAGCTCATGACGGGGCTGCAGCTTGCACCAAGGCTGCAACTCGTGCCGGGTTTGCAGCTCATGCCAGGGCTGCAGTTCACCCCGGGGCTGCAGCTCACACTGGGGCTGCAGCTCGCACCGGGGCTGCATCTTGCACCGGGGCTGCAGCTCGCACCGGGGCTGCAGTTCACCCTGGGGCTGCAGCTCACACCGGGGCTGCAGCTCGCACCGGGGCTGCAGCTCGCACCGGGGCTGCATCTTGCGCTAGGATTGCAGCTCGTACCAGGGCTGCAGCTCATACCAGGGCTGCAGCTCGCACTGGGGCTGCAGCTCGCACCGGGGCTGCAGTTCACACCAGGGCTGCAGCTCGCACCGGGACTGCAGCTCGCGCCGTCGCATCCGCGTGGCCGCCGGGGCAGCGGGAAGCGGCTGCGCTCGGCCGGCGCGCCGAGCCGCTCGCGACGCCATAAATCTGCCTGCCGTGTCTGCGGCGTGCGTGCCGTGCCCGGCCCTGCGTGGGTGGCGGCCGTCTGGGAAGCAGGCGGCAGCCCCGGAGCGCCCGGCGGCGGCTGGCGGAGCGGCCGCCCCGGCCGCGGGATGCGGCGCCCGCGCCAGCCCCCTCGCTGCGTGTCCCGCTCCGGCGTCGCGTCACGGTCCCGGGGGGCTCCCAGGGTGGGCCCCGATCCGCATGGATCCGCCGGGGCAGCCGGACACGCGGGGGGGAGACGCGCCGGGTGCTGGCAGCAGGAGTGGGTGCAGCGAGGCTGGGTGCATCCTGAGGGTGTCCCGCTTCCAAAAGGGTGCCCGGATCCCGGGTGCTCTCAGGCCACTGCGCTCCTGGCCCTGGTGCCGGGCAGCGGTGCCAGCGCCGGGCATGGCCGAGGGGGCAGGACGGGGGGCTCACAGACGCAGCGAGCAGCCTGTGCAGCGCAGCGAGCCCCAGGGCTCCGGCCTCCCCYTTCCCTCTCTTGCAGACAAAGCTGAGCCCAAAAGCAAAGGCAGGAGGAGGCAGAAGAAGCAGAGGACAGAGGCGGCGCCGGGCACCTAGCGGCACGGGGAGCGGGCGGACACGGCGGCTCCTCGGCCCGGCCCGGCCCGCCGGGTCGTCCCCGCTCCGTGCGCAGCGAGTTGCACAACCGGCCGCCGCCTCCCCCTTCCCCGGCSACGATTTACGGCCTGTAAAACATTTCCTTCTCTGAAAGAGCCAATTTGCAGCGGCCGGAGGGAGCCCCGGGGCCGGCGCSGGGGCCTCTCCCGCTGCTTTGGTTCCTCCCGCTCCCCCTGCCCGCCCGGCCCCCCTCCAGCATCCCGAACCAGGGGCCACCCATGGGTGCGGGCGCCTGGGTGCTCCCCGGCTCTGCTCCGGGTGCTCCCCGTTGCAGCCCCRCGGGATCCCGCCCGGATCCTGGTGCTGCCGACAAAGCGGGAGGAGCCGGCGGGGCCGGCGCAGCCCCGGGCCGCGAGCGCAGCAGAACRGAGGGTCCCTGCCCGCGGCACCCGTGGGTGTCCCCCTGGGAAGATCCGCATGGATGCGGAATTCCTGCCCCCATCGGCTGGGATTCCTGCCCCGCGGGGGCTCTGCGCGGATCCTCGCCGGGCGACGCTGGGTGTCAGCAGCGAGCCGCCGCGGAGGCCGCTCGCCCGCTTGTTTACCGTCCAATAAATACATCAAACCCTCCGGCATCCCCGTTTCCCTGCGCGGCCCGGGGGAATGTCCACGTCCTCCCCCCGCAGTTCCCTCGGGCCAATCCCTGCTCCGTGTCCTGCACCCACTGCCCAGTTGTTTTTCCTGCTCCCATGGGAAAGACGTCGGATTCCAAGCAGGATCTCCATCACCTGAAGGTGTTGGCTCCGGGTGCTGTGTCTGAGGGCCGGGGTGGCTGCGGGAGCCCCTTGCARAGGGTCGCGAGGCCCGAATGAGCCGGGGCTGCTGTTCCCGCGGTGCGGATGGGACACGGAGCGTGCCGCAGGGTTTGCAATGGAGCGGGATGCCCCTGACTGCGTGCACCCGGAGCGGCACCCGCGGCACCCCTGGGAACTGGCACCCAGGGGAGCCGGGAGGGCTCCCTCCACCCCAGGCTGCTCCACCGGGACAGACCCATCCCTATCCCATTGCTGCTCCCCACGGATGGCAGCCAGGGCCACTAAATCCCCACTGCAGCTTGCCCTGGCATTATAAATAGCCGGGATGCGGGGTGGGAATTCTGCTCTGGGATGTGCGGGCGCCCAAGCAGCGGGTCACAGCTGGGGCCCATCAGGGCGGGATGGTGGGAAGCGGCGGGCGGGCGGAAGGGAGCGCGCGGCTCCCCGCGGGGCCGAGGTGCCGGGCGGCCCCGGGGCGGGACGGGCGGACRGRCGGACGGACGGACGGGGCCGAGCCTGCGAGCGTGCGAGACCCGCGGCAGCATCACGTGTGAAACTTGATCTCCCCGCAGCGGGCTCGGAGCACAGAAAAAAGATACAAGAATTGTTTTTAAGCAGATTTTTGTCCTCTGTTTTTCTTTTTTTTTTTTTTTCCCCCTCTCTGCAAGGGCAGCAGCCGGCGCCGGCGATAAAAGCCCGGGACGGCGGAGGGAATGCCGAAATCGCCGCGATTCACCCCAGCGCCCGGCGCCCCGTGACTCGCGTGGAGCGGCAGCGCGGCGAGCAGCGGGGCCCAGGCGTCCGGGCAGCACCATGCGGGCGCCGGCCGTGGCGCTGGTGGCGCTGGCGTGGGCGCTGTGGTGGCCGAGCTGCGGCCGGGCGCAGCGGCGGG